TCTTCATCGACTGAGATGGTTGGGCCACGTGTTTTGTATGCCTGAACACCGATTACCACGACGTGCAATGCTAACCGGGGTAGGGGTTGGTTGGAAGAAAGTTAGGGGCGGCCAAACCAAAACGTGGCATCAGTGCTTGAAGTCAGTAACTTCTAGTCTGAGCCATGTTGGTAGATGCAAACTACTTGGTTGGGGTCCGCGTGACAATCGTAACGAATGGTTGGAGATTCTTGGTGACATGGCTGAGAATCGATCACAATGGTGTCGGTGTATACACTCTCTGTCTTCCCTTAAACTATGGGATTAAAATCGCTTCATATCTTCCTTTCTTCCTGTACTATATTTTTATATGCAGTATTTCTTTTATATATCACCATCTCTGAATTAACTACTTTCATGAATCCGGTGTCCATCTTGTGTTAATGAGGTATGGCAACTTGGATCGATGCACATATGTGCCTGGTCCTACGTTGTGGCTGACTGACTGAAGAATGCTGACACACGATTGTGTTCTGCTTTCAGAATAAAGTTATTGAAGGGTATTTCCAAAATCCCTGACGATGAGCGCTCAAAACTCCTGTTTTCTCCTTATCGTATCGTAGAACGCAAGCCGACCTGATATTGGCATTGTATATGTTTAATATTGATTTCGGTGTTAATGTCTTATCTTTTTGCTCCCTCCAGAATTAATCTCCGAGGTCATAGAAAAAGGTTCAAAAACTGCGATCGAATAAACTGAGTGGGGCTCCATTTTTCTCATCGAGTGGTCATTGGCCCAATCGCCTTGCTTGAACAAGTGGTATCAGTCACATCAGTGAACATTTTAAATGAGAAACTGCACCTGCACTGGAAGACAAGCTCCAAGGATTAATACATGTCCACCGACCTACTATTCGTATTATTAGACGCTGAAGTTCTTATAAAATATTCTGGCTAACACTGACGATTTTTTATACGTTTTGTCAAGAACTATTAATAACGAAGAAAATATCTACTTAAGTTGATTATATTGAGGTGAAGTTCGCCTGTCTGGTTGCACTCAGTCCAAACAAATAAAACCTCACATAGTTTGTTATGTGGAGTCATTGAATTGTGCAATTATTTTGTTTATTCCTGTATTCACAACTGCGGTGTTTTATCTCTAAATGCTTTACTTGGTTCTAATGAAGATTACGATTACTGTCTCATTAGAAATAAGATGTTTTAAAAGATATCTCATTATAAGTAGAGAGCAGGTATTAACGATCAAAAGTTAGATTGCTTCAGACCAGTTTTCCACTCATCCACTAAAGTGTATTTCTTTGATTTTAGGCACGCAATACTACTTAAGAAGTTGTTAATCGGTTCGTCTTTCATTTATGACCACAGCACGAGTAGTAATGGATACTGACAACACGGTGCTTTCTGAAAAACAGAGTAAACCTGGTGTAATAATGTCAGGTCATAAGTGTCCTGTTTGTCCTCATTCCTGTGCTTCTCAATCTGGACTCATAGGTCATCTAACTACAAAACATAAAGAGCGTTTGGCCGCTGTTTGCAAAGTTTGTCAACAGATCTTTGCATCGGATGCTATAGGTTCTCATGTACTTAAATGCAAGGGTAGCTATTCATGTCCTTACTGTCGTGCTACGTTTTCGTCGCCCTCTTATTTACAGCGTCACATCTCCAGGCGTCACGAGATTTTTGATCGCCCCACCTGTAGTGTTTGTGGAAAGGGTTTCTCATCGACCAATTCATTAGCTGTTCATAAGAGATTGCACCGAAGCAAGTTTTGTAATTTCTTTAGTTGATGTTTGTAGATTATATGCCATACTACTGCCAGCTTTGCAATGCTAATTTTGCTCAGAAAAGTCATCTTAAATTGCATTTAGACTCTCATCATGCCTATGTCGAATTAGATGAGACACGGAAACCTTTTGTGTGCAAAACCTGCGACCGTGGATTTCTGTTTATTATCAGTTTGCAACGACACCTATTACAACATAGTAAGCTTAGTCCTAAAAGTATGTTGGCTTTTATCAATATAATTTTCATTCAGAGTTACTACCATGCAAAGTCTGTAAAAAAAACTTTGCTCATCAAAGTGAACTAGAACGCCACAGCATCATTCACACCAAGTGTTCGCCATACCAATGCTCATTTTGTTCTCGTACGTTCACGCGTCCTAACTTGTTGAAGAACCATGCTTTGTTACACACCGATCCAAGTCTTCTAACCTGCTGTTACTGTTCTCGAGTCTACGCTTCTCGTGCTTATTTGCTACAGCATTTAAAGAAGCATGAAGACAAACTGCAAATATCTCCAATTCCGAATTTAGGTACAACTTCCATTTCAGAGATAGAAACAAGTATCCTTGACGATTGCAGAGTAAATGTACCAAAGGAGATGGATAAGGTAAGTGGAATATATGTCTTGGCATGTAGTTTTTCAGGTATGTGAAGGTTCGACATTCGAGGACTTATGTAATGATCAAGTCGTTTCCCCAGATGTCGGCTTTCTACATTCGTTGTTATATGGACAAAATATGAGTTGATACACAGACTGTAACGTGTAGTTAGACTTTTATCAGTGATTTAGCTTCCTAGTCTTCCCTAGTTCAGTATTCCTGCAGTCCACAATCTTCGAACCATACAAATCGATTTCATGCTCTAGTTAGTTTTCATTTACGTACGTTGATTTTACATTGCATTGCAGCATACATTTCGCCATCAGCCGATTACAACTTATTGCATTTTTAGCTTTTAAGTCTTTCGAGGATAGCTCGCCTTTCCGGTTTGCAGTAATCTATCTGGGCATTTCTTATTCTTATTTAACTTGTACGAAATTTGCTTCAGCTTATTCTGTAATTGCTACTTACAACCATTTAAGTTGATTAAATGACTATTTATTTATTAGATTTACTTCCTTCTCGCACTACATTTCATTTTGTGATAGCTATTGTATTTACCAAGTGTTACCGAATTCTTCGACGAGTAGTTACGATCTAGTTCCTATGCTTTCGTTTTAAAATCATAATCCGGTTCTTTTTTTGAACCTTTTGTCTTTCTGTGGAGTTGGAATCGTAGTTATGTTTTTATGCGGTCTTCAGCTCCTTTCCAACTTCCTCAGTGATGAGAAGATTATAAGTTAATTTTTGTCTGTTCTACATCGATGTACGTCATCTATATTTTTGTAAGTTATCGACCGGACTTACATAATGTCAGGACATGACTGCCTGATCGATATCGTTTGGTTTTTATATTTATCTCTTTTTTTGATTTTTTACGCTGCTCTTATGCATTTTACATGTTTTCTGTAAAAAATACTGTTTACAATAAATAATTTTCAAAATTAATGTTTGGAATTTTAAAAGGCTTACTGGTGTTCTCGAGTTTTTCTGACTACTGCTAAGTTTCTATGGGCCACAACATCATGGTTTTCAATTGTGATGGTCTAACATCAATCGGTTCATGATCTCAATAAAATAACCAAATCTGACCACACTTTCAAAATCTAGAGTTCGTTCGCTTCTTATTCGTTAAAAACATGCTTGTTCAGTCCTTACTAATTTATTCAGTGGTATACAAAGTTAGCCCTGGAAAGTTATGATAAACAACTGACATCGGTAGGATCATACCGTACCTTATTTTCAATTTGGATAACTGATAGTACCTTTAGCTCTAAAAAATGGTATTACTGAAAGTTGAACATATAAACCAATAAGATTATCTTGCCATGATTGAGGTGACATGAAGTTAATGGAAATTAGATAGACGCACACAGAAAGCGTGTGCCACCAAGCAAAAAATTACGGCATCACTTTCTGGATCCGTTAGAATCGGGTAACTAGTCTTTTTTCTCGGATTCACATGAACTAGAATTAATAAGAATGAGTAAGTTTTTCCTTGCGATGTACATCTTATGTCAAAAGTGTCTTTAAACCGTTTTGTATATATCACATAATCACCTCCAGAAGTAAAAAAAACTGGCTTACATAAATATTGTAATTTGTTTCCCTTGTAAACCTAAAAAATCGAATCATTTCTCGTTTACTAATCAGTCATTGGATATGGGACATTGAACCTAACACGTACGTCAGCTCAAATTACCACACCATATTAGCAGAGACAAAATTATTTCAAAATAAATCCCACAATAATATGAGTAATAGAAAGGACTAAGTATACAACGAATGAAAAAGAAGAATACGGTGTTTAAGAACTAAGGGGAGATGAATGTACCTGCAGCGCTGTATACGTTCCTGAGCCATGTAGGAATGTGAATCAACGGGGGTGATGTTTAATAAACAATTGGAAGGGTTTTTTGGGAAGTTGGCTTTTTTACAAGATCGTGTAACGACCGGACAAGGTGGAAACGAAAATGAAATCCCACCAAACATCAGAGAGAACTCACTGGAAGGCTACGTGAATCCTTGTTGATAGAAATAAATCTGAGGTAATATTATAGATGAGTGTTGTGCATACATCTTTGAGAATGCAAACGACCGCTCATCTCGAGCACCCCTGTTTATAGACCAAGGGATACGATAATAACCACTAGATCAAGCAGTTCTATGCATTGATGTTGTTAGACTTTCGACAGGAGTTTCTTGATTATTTATTTTAATGGGCAGAACGTTACCAGTAATTTATTTGTGCATATGATCACTTGTGGCTCAAACAGTATGCTGTGTTTAACTTTTTTTAGAGTTAAATGCCGAAAAACCCCTGCGTTTGTAGCGAAGTCGTTTTAGTGTCGATCACTGAGCCTGAAACTTAAATCCTAGGGGTTCATACGGTGAGCTTCCAGCTTTAGTTGCCATCTTTAGGCTTCTGTAGTGGTAGAAACCAAATTTTTAAGCAGGAATATTTTATTTTTCAGCTACACGTTTTTCTACACAAAAAACCAGCTATTAATAGTAGTAAACCCCTGATTTAAATTCGATTGGTTTTAAAAAAAGCTCAATATTTTCATGAATTATCTTGAAGTTTCCTCACTAAAAGTTTAATGCTAATTTAGAACTAGAGTTTGGAGTTGGTTTCATTTCCCAGAAGTGAAGAGCACGTACATATCAAGTGTTGATCACCGTATACATCATCTAGCCGACTTACAGTTGGCCACAATTTTGAACGTTTACTTGTTGATTCATCTTTCATATTTTGCCATGGGGCTGGAAATGCTGCCACTTGGCGTGTATATGGCCTGTCCCACTTCGAATCCATTACTGTCTGAAACAGGTAATAGTGCATTAATTAATTATTGGGAAAACCGCTTCCAGGCATTGACCCATGAATTCGAACTTGGATAAAAAGTGCTACACGATATGTATTTCTAAACTAATTTCATCCTTTATTGCAGAAGTAGCAACCTGAGTGTTTTAGGAGAATTAAATGACACCATAAATTTCGGTCCTTCGTAGCAGAATAAGCCACCTATATTATACACAAGCTTTTGTTTGTAGTTGTTCATATGAATTTTTACAGGAACATATTTCATAACTTAAAACTTTGATCTTTTTAACTGTAATCCCCATAACAATTTTCGATGTACGGATAAGTATTTATATGAAATCTCCAACTCATCTTGATGAATACTATTGAGCAAAAGATTGCATAGGTTGCGTCATTTCTCAACCTTAAAACCAGAAAATGGGTGAAAAAAGGGATGGAAATGTTTGGGATTTTGATTTCGTTGATAACGACCCATGCCACCTACAGTTTACAACCTTTGATTTCTGGCGTACCCACAGACGGAATCTGTGCATTCTAAACGACTCAATCCAATACTTGATAACTACAGACTGATTCTGTCCTAAAAAGTTTCTAATAAGTTCATATCATTTTTACAGCCAGGAATTATAGGGTACCTATTACCTAACGTATCATTTCCTGTAATCAATAATGTGAAGTCACCTGAAAGGGCTAATTTTAGAAGCTGTAAACATAATATTTCGCGCAGAGATGGATGGTGGGTAGCAGTGGAACCCTGTATGAGACTCGTCAGCTGGATTTACCTGCACCCAACAGTTGGTATTTACTTCGAGAGTTGGACCCGGTACCGTTCTCTTCAGACGTCATCGCGTTATCCACTTAGCTACTGATTCTGGATAGCTACTGGCTTGTGCATTGTGGTGGATTTTTAAAGGTTTGTCACGATAGTAAGTTTAAAATTAGACGAATAGATATTTTGGATACTTACTTCCATAGTATGTGGAGCCATCTTTAATGGATTACATTCGATATCCCACTCTCCTTTGGTCACCTTGTCAATCTCTCCTCTGATCGAAATGAGTGCTTCACATAGACGGTCGCACTCAGCTTTAGGTTCACTCTCTGTAGGTTCAATCATTAGGCTTGAGGTCACAGGCCATGACATAGTTGGGCTGTGGAAACCTCCATTTGTTTGGTTTCAAAAGTAATGGGAGAAAAAAAAGATAACTTGTTTATCATGAATTTCACAATATTGTCATATTTAGTTTATTCGGCAGTTGAGCAAACCAATTCTTGTTGTATCAATATTGTTTACATACAAATCGAAGCAGGACTGAGAACCATTTAGGTAACTAAAAATATTCAAAGTTAGGTTCCTTCTCTAATTATTGCAATGATATGCCTACTTTATGCTTAAGAGATCAATAGGAAAAAATTGCGGAGTCGCTTAAAGCAACAACCTAATCATCCAAGTTCATATACTAAATCAATATCTATTTATGTTGACTTAATTACCATTCGTGAAATAAACTATGGCACATAAAAAAGTAAGAATTTTGTAAAAATTTAAATTTAACGATTGGGTATACCGCCTTGAATTTTCATTTTTATCTTCCCATAGCTTTTTTCGGCTGACTTCCCACTTCTACTAGGTACAGAAATAGTAGGTATAAAGTCTGGTATATGTGGATTGAAGATAATAAACATAAGAATACTACTCATCACGGGATTATTAAATCTAATTACTAGAAAACTGGTAAGATGTCACAGTGAGATATAGTAACTGAGGGGTTTAAATTAAGAAGAATCTACAAATTTTTTACAGTTAATTATCCACTAGTGACTGATATAAGTCGCTGTACACAGTAATGATAAGCTTAATACGGACTTTAGGTAGGCCAAAATTTCATTATCAAGATGAAATTAGTCCCAAATGAAAAGAGCAAGAACAAAGATTTTAGCAGAATAGCATGAATTCATTTTGATTAAGCCATTGCTATCAGGCGCCAAAAACCTGACCTATGTATTCAAAAGGAGACGGTGGTTAATCTTTCCTTGCCCTGGTGACAAATATTCCTTCACTGCACCTTAAAATCTTTTTTTCCCTTTTTCTTTTTTTGCATTTATTGCATCATTGATGTTATTTTATTTTTTCAACTATCTTTCAAATGAATAATCTTTCAACTGAACTCTACTCACTATGTTCCTATCAATGTTTATTCATTATGTAATCAATTGTTTCTAACCCACTTTTGAACGGTTGTCACAATTAATCTTGTAGAATATTCTTTCACATTAGGTTTATATTTACAATATTCAGTAAGCAATTTAAACCCATTATGTAATTATGATGATTTTTAAATATCACAGGTTGTAAGCAGCTGACGAGAACCTACGAAATAAAATGAATTCATGCTATTCTGCTGAAATCTTTGTTCTTGCTCTTTTCAAAATGATAAAGGGAACTATGTGTACGAAATTTCTCAAAAAACAGTTCCAAATGATTGGTGGTTTCCGCAATCGCACAGTCGAATCGCCATAACCTCGATCATGTTCAGTGAATTTATTTATAAAATTTTCGGGTAATAAAAAATTGGGTCATTTAACTTTACTTGCAAATACACTGATTTTTTTATAGTAGAAATAGATAATAAAAATGCTGCAGAAGATCTTCAACTTGTTAGTAAAGTGGTACTGCTTCAGTATTTATCTGTCCTAAATATCGAAGTTTTTGAGACGAGCACATCAAATATTTTATTTTAATCCTGACAATTATACTTATTATTTACAAGATTATTGCCTTGATTATAAGTCAATAGATAATAAGATGGAATGTGAGGTGGTGAAGATTTGTAGCTCAGGTAGATGATTTCGATGGAATTTCAGATTACTGATTATTAGGGGTTAGTGAAACTCGGTATATAAAGAAGTGGTCGAAGTTCTAGTATTCTGTAGAAACTCGACAATTGTAGTCAATAAAAGTGCTTTTTACAAACAGTGAACTTTTAATTACTGACCAGGAGATTCATGAATATTTTTACTAGATTATAAAGACATTACGATATAATAGAGATATACCACTCGATAGGCTGAAACTTATAATAATCACCTGCTGTATCCCTTACAATGCACTTCTGATATCTTGACAGGAGCAGGTGCTTATTCGTGTTACCAGCTAATTCTTAATCTACTTCAACCTTTTATTATGGGGAATCGTTTGAAGTGGAATCCTAGGTGCAAGAAACCGTTGTAAAATTGAGAACAAAATAGGCTTTATTTGAAAACACCTAATCATGCATAAAAGTGAAACAAACTAGCTTCCAACGCCAGACATAGCTATTTATTCTCAATGAGGTTACAATGCCACTATCGTTGACACTAAATGCATAAAGCGACTTTATCATAACAAAGACCTAGTTATTTTCTCGAATTCCGTGTATCTGAAAGCAATTTCAAATCCTGGTTAAAGTAAGGAAAAAAATTCAAAACTTAATTCATGTTACATACCATAATCCATTAGTCGTTTTGCAATATCAATCACATCAATATTCTGTTTAGAGAATTGTGAACAATCTATTATAAATTCATGTGCACACATCCCCGCGCTGTTTACATAGCGTATATTATAATAATCTCGGAGACGCTTGAGCATATAATTAGCATTTAACAAAGCCGTCTGACTTGCTCTCTTCAAACCTGTAAAGACAATAGCAGTTATTTATTTGTCTGTATTTGAAAGGAAAGTTATATCACTTCGCGAAATGCTAACTGTTACGTTCACACTTTCTACAAACTTCATCTTACACTACCCTGATCAGCATCACAAATAAAATCTTTCTCAAAAAAAGTTGGTAATATTCATTCCTATCCGTCAACATGTGATCAGTTGGAGTGCAACCTTCAAAGCCGAGTTTGAAATCTTAAGAGCCTATGATAATATAATCAAGAAAAATTCAGCCACTTATTTTCAGGAAAAATCAAACCATAAACGTCAGGACATAGCTGGATCGTTCTTTGGAAATAACTAAGAAAGTAGTTTTGACTAGTAATTACCAAGATTCATATGAAATCGCAAAAATCCTGAATAATATAAAATAAAGTCGTAACTGTTGTAAGAAACCATTGTCACCTAAATGTATATCTACTTTTATGTGTACCGAACTTTATTTTGTGATCAACCATTCTGCAATTTGCAGTAGATCATTCTCAATTCAATAATTAAACAGTCTTGGAGTGCTGCTAATATCATATTGTTTAATATATAGTATTAATGAATTCGTATAAGTTCGCTGTATATTTTCTAACGTAAATCATTCAGGTTCAAGTCACTCGCTATTACATAGTTGAAAAGAATCAATAAAAAACCGTTATTCAGGTGAATAACACTTTAAATTTAATGTACGAATAGTTTAACAAGCCCCCTACTTCAACATTACTGGGGTCAATGTTGCGTTTAAAATCTTAAATTCCTTTCTCACCTTAAAGCTATCAATTTATCATCATTATTTGATTCACATGGTCTCGTAAAATTCATGATGATTTTGATCAAATATGGAAGGAATTACTTTCATCCTTTTTGTACAGAGTGAATTTCAATACAAAACAAAAGATAAAAAAGAAATCTGAATAGAAACATCTACCTTTCGGGCCCAACAACCTCATATACGCCCATGATATTGGTAATAAGCTTGCAGAACCAAATGGAGCAGAACAAATTGCGAAATGATCAGAAGATTTATTTTCGGTGTTCATTTTGTGACCAGAACGACCCACACAAGTATGATCGTATAAATAATGCTGGGGAAGAAATGGTGCTAAGTGCGACTTGGCACAAACAGGGCCACAACCAGGTCCACCTCCACCGTGTGGAATACTGAATGTCTTGTGTAAATTTATGTGCGAAACATCTGAACCGATATCACCAGGGCGACATAAACCGACCTAGTTAATTTTGAAGGATAAAGGGAAAACACCTTCCTATTCTCTACAATATATATATATATATATATATATATATATTAGTTTTTTAGGACACGACCTACCTGAAACACTGCTCACATTTAAGTGTGAGCAACAAAGAAGCGATCATATCTTCCTTAAATTGTTTGCATAGTTTACCCTACCAAAGGTGACACAAGCGCGTTGTCCTCGACGTTTGTTTGATATCAGTCATTTCGCGAATCAGCAAACAAGTTCAAAATTACTAAAGAACATTTATTATTATTCACTGATTCTCTTGTCTCCAGATTCCTATTCTGATTTTTAACCCATGGAAAATCATCTCATTAATATTAATTGTTTCTTTTTTGAGACGTCATTTTAGGAATGTTTCGATGAATCGACGTACGAAGAGGGAATTCCACAGCTATTTCGCTCTGTCCATAATAGTAATAATAATACCAACTTATAGATCTAGGTTATAAATACAGCCTTGATTTTTAGAGGATTACCAAACAGTGAACCGATATCACGACAATAAATTTTTATTGAAATGAATATCTATACAATACTCATGTTTGAATACTGATACCCCTTATTTAAAAATTCTTTAATTAAAATTTAAGTGTATAGTTAGACAAAATTGTAATAAACATCAATTGACATATAGAGGCTGGTACTAAGTCATGCCGATATGAGTTATTCTGACTTCCAGACAGACCAATTTATTCATTCTTCTTGGGTCACATTTTAACCTTGTGAATCATTCGCTTATTAACCTTGACTGTTTTATATGAGCGTGTGTGTTAATCCCTTACCCTTCTCACTACATATCTGTAACCTATTTTTGTTTGACTATAAATATCGGGTCATGCTTGGTTAAATGGAGCTGGTTCACTCGTCTTCTGCACTGAGTATTGTTTCATTTTGCTTCCCTACCTTGGTTGCGTTTCCTTGATTGTCTGTTGAGACCAACGATTGTATGAAATATACGTACTCAAAATCCATTCTCGTATTTAACTTATTTAATTCCGTTATTCACTAACGCGATTTAAGGCGATGATTATATACGAGGGTAGCCGGGATGTATGTATATTTCGATAAAAATCATAATATGATTTAACTGGAGTCAGATATAAGGCCACATAAGACATGCAGATTTCAGGTCGTCAAGCAAAATGTAACGATTATTGTTAGACTATGTGTAAACTCTTAATGATTTTAGATTAAAACAGACTGCAATCACCAACCTATACAACGATCTTGCCAATAAAATACCTCCAGTGATGTGCTGCAGAATATTTAAAAACCGTCTTTTTTTCTTGATGAATTGAAATATTTAGATTTCTGTCTATTTATTGAAGTTCACAGTGAACAATATATGTAGAACACTTCATTCACGTGAAATCTGAAAACGTTTCTGAAACAGGTTTTTAGTTATGATAACCTTTCAGAATTAAAAATCGGGACAGGGTGTTAACTTCGATCGATTATATTCAAAATAGACGGATAACACTTAAGACTCATTTAACCTCAAACTGGTTATTATTATTATTTTTATTTAACTATCAATCTTTGAATCCAACCTCTTTTTTCTATAAATATGATTAACCTTGATTTCGGTTTATTTTCGTTGTGTCTCTCCTACTATTACCCAGCGTGTGTTTATTGCTCTGTTTCCAGTTGGATTGCAGTATTTTACTTGGTCGTATTAATTTTATTAATTTGTTTTATAAAATCATAACTGTTGGCTGACATATAGTTACATGTTTTGACTCTAATGGTGCCAAGACTCTATGTACGACAGTATAGGGACTTGATTTGAAAATTCATCTGTATACAAATCAAATCCTACTTAGCTTTGATTTTGATCTGATTTAAAAAGTGATATGTATTTCTCGAATAGAGAGAAGTTAAAACGACATCTATTCTTTAGATTTTCGTACGGAAATCGGTGTGTTTTAATCTGTGTGAAAATTTCGAAACCTACTCAAAATGTCTTCAGAATAATAAAATTTGTGTATTGATTCAAATATCGAAGAAAATAAAGTGAAGTCGATATAAATAGATCTGATAATATTCACTAAAATGAAGTCTGAAATCGTTTCAGGTGTTTAATGATTTAATATCGTATTGGTGAAACCGTAACACTTTAATCGTTTCCTCCTGATTTTAATGTCTTACTTATCAATGCTGAATTTAAGCAACATCACCATGTTGTCAGTGATCCAATTAAGAGCAAAATATTATGTACTACAAAGTCGAAAATTAGTGATTTCAGACATATGACAGCAAGGTGCTCTGTATTTCTTCGTGATTCTGAAAATTTTAAAGTAAAGAATTTCTCTGCTACAGTTGGACATCAGGGAGCCAGGAACATCTGCTTTATTGTAGTTGACGGCTCCTCAGGATAGCGCACTTAAAAACCTAGACAGACCATGGTAAAAATCACTCGCAAAATCGGTGAATTTTTTTTACAAAGTACTTATTGAGGTATATGTTATTTGGCAGAAATGAACATTAAGAGTTATTAAAATAAAGCGGTAATACCTGTGCATTCAAATTGGCACCATCCATAAAAACCTGTCCACCAGCTTCGTGAACGATTTCACACACTTTTTGAACATTACTATCAAATACACCAAATGTACTTGGATAGGTGATCATAATGGCTGCTAGATGATCTTTATATAGAGAAGTTTGTTCTTCTAGATGATTCATGTCTAGACTACCAGTCGATGTAGTTTTCACGTGTTTAACAGTCATTCCAGCCATTTGAGCACTAGCAGGATTCGTCCCATGTGCTGAGGTAGGGATTAAACAGATCTGTATTTCAAACAGAAAAACAATGTTTATATTATGTTTTTTTACTTATTCATCATTTGTTTGAATTACTGAACAAATAGATAAAAATACGCATTTAGTAACTAGTTGGCGGTTGTAGTCTGTAAAATCGAAGTAGACAAATGTGAAATAGTCATTTCTTAATTTATACGAATATTCGTCAAGATCAGAACGAATATTTTGACAGTAATTGAGCGCCGAGTATAGAGAAGTTATTATATGTGAAAATTATATTTGAAATATTCTCAGCGATTGAAATTTAACTAATTCCAACGTTTCGTCCAGCTAACTTGTCTGGACTTCTTCAGGGTAATAATCAAAATCAAAATTATCAACGAAATATATAGATTTAACAATCAGGATTATACTGTGTTAAACCAATCATATTTGGATGTTGATTTTGTAAAATAGGATAAAATGAGTCAGTTAACTACAAATCATGTGGAGAATTCAACTACATGGAAATACTTAACTGAGTAACAAATCGTATGTGTGTGAGTGTGCAGGTATGTATGTATGTGTAAGAGATTGATATGAAGGAACAAATAAAGTTCAAGTTCAAGGATGAAAAATTGATAATGAAACATCGATGTACATGTCAAAGCATAAATTGTATTGTTTAAAAACTCATTGAATTCATTCCAAAAATAATAACGATGCATGTGAGATTAAAAAACAGGTTTAAACAAGAGATAGGTTCCAAATTTACTTGTCAAACGAAATTTGCCAAGTAGTTGCCAGTTGAATACCATATTTTTGGTTCAGGCTGTTCGCCCATATATGCAGCGCTTCTGCTGTCAGTCTTTCTTTATGGGTGTTAAAACCTTTCTGAAGTATTTTGGTCCCTTCAAAATTAATCTTGTGCCCTGTTTCTAACGCATGTAACGCTATCGCTGACTTATTTTCAAATTTCTTTAAATAAACCGAGGATTTTGGAACATTTTCCAAGCATTGTTTGTGTTCCTTCAATCTTACATTCAATTGACTGGATGTTTCTCCAACATAGGTAGCATTACAGTCATGACAGTGAATCTCATACACAATGTTCTGTTGTTCTTCCTTTGCTAACTTGTCCTTAACTTTCACTAATGTCGATCTTAATGTGTTATTCGCTCTAAAATACTCTCTTATATCATGTTTTACAAAAAATCAACATCCAAATATGATTGGTTTAACACAGTATAATCCTGATTGTTAAAAGCTATATATTTCTTTGATAATCTTGATTTTGATTATTACCCTGAAGAAGTCCAGACAAGTTAGCTGGACGAAACGTTGGAATTAGTTAAATTTCAATCGCTGAGAATATTTCAAATATAATTTTCACATATAATGAGTCTGAGGAAAAAATATATTTTAAGCAAGGCATTCTCTTTCTCGGATATTTCATGACATTTCATAATATTGCTGCCAATCGAGACAAATAAACTTTAAATAAATAGGATTTAGACCAAACTTTGCTAAATTGATTTTATTTGTGAAGACGGACGGTGTTACGGTTGCAATTCACACTGATGGTATAATACAGCTAATAAAACAGTAAAGAATACATCCACTAGAATTAATTCAACATAGAGACATAGTTTCCTCAGTTCAAACGGAATACATTTGGCTCAGTGATAGTATTAACATCTGGATAAAATATTTGTACATACATGAATCAGCATGAACTAATTATAAAAGATCTAGTGAATTAAGTAATTCTTATATCAAACAATGAGACAGCTCAATATATTTAATGGAATATTTTAAATTGTACATGGCAAAGAGTTTAACGAAATAAGTCACGTAACAACATGAAAAATGTGTCCCTAACTATAAATGGCTTTAAAGAACTTGATTCAAAAATAAACAGTTAGTTGTTTAAGCCCGAAACCCTCTAAAAGTCTAATGGTGCTTTGTTCCTCTCGATTCTGCGAGGCTGCCTCAATATGTACCTAGTTAGCATCTGACAAGAGTCAACTAGAGTTACTGAAAATCAATCAGAGTGAAAGTTAACAACAGTCATTACATCGAACTCCACACAACTCTTGCAAATTGATGACTGGACAATAAGTAACCCGAATAAAAGGTTTGTTCAGCCTCTTTTACGAAAAATGTTTATAATAACTCAGCTCAAAATAAATATAAGAACCATAATCACTTACTGTACGTTTATGTTCACCTTTTCTATCCAAATATCCTCTGATAGCTTTTAATCCAGCGTACTCACCCTGTGCTCCACTATTCGGTGCAAGAGAAACATAATCATAGCCAGTTATCTCTTTGATGTCATTTTCCAGTTGTGCGATCAATTCCAAATAACCAGTAACTTGATTTTTCGGTACGAAAGGATGCAACTTGTTGACATTATCCCATGAGCAAGCCTATTAGTTGCAAATAGATAAAGTAATTAATATGCGTCCTTTAACACACAACGTGTTCCGTTAGGTATGTTTCTTGAAAAGTTGATTTTTCTGCACATTTCAAATAGTTACCATATCCAAATTATCTGTCTGCACCACAAAGTTTTTATGGTCACAAAAATTCTAACAAATTTGCAGCTTTTACCTGTATTTTTCATCAGTTAACCAACAATGTAATATTCCAAGTTCTATAGCTACTCCGATTTGCACAATTTTCATAGATTACAGTTTTAAAAATATGTTTGTATTTTCAGGCTAATACTTATTAAGTTTAAAGAGACTTCAGAGTGATTTTTCAGTCATAGAAATTTTTGGTTTTATTCAGTTGCAATTTAACACACAATTTAGTCAAAAAGCACAAAGCGGCTATTATGAGATCGGGGTGTTGATATTTAGACAAAAATTAGCTTTATATTCCTTTAAGTATACTCTTATAATTATAGATTCGGTTTCGGCTATATGAATTTACTGAGATAGGTAAATTACGTTTATTAAGAACACATATAACTGTTTGTATAGTAAATGTTAACAGGTTTCACAAGAATAAGTCAGTACTTCGATTCATTGGCAGGCGATATTAAAATTTTTACTAGATACAATACACTATTTGAGTCGCATCAAAACATCAAAAGGTTGAAATAGGCTTTGCATGAATCGAATACTATCATTTATTAGAATGTATTTTTCTGGAAAAGATTTAGACAAGTTTTTGATTAAGATCATGAATCGATTGATGTTAGACCAACATTGAAAATCGTCCTAGTATGGGACTCCTCAGTAGTATGTATCCATGATTCCGCGCGCGGGATTCGAACCCAGGACCTTCGGTCTCGCGCGCGAGCGCTTAACATTCTTCGATTGATGATCGCAATGAAAAATTTACCAATCTCCACAACCCTACACACATATTTAGATAAGTATTTAAATATTCTTACTAGGCAGATTCTTATTCAGAGTAATCGATCAAAAGTATGCATGAAGCTCAGTTAATACTTTAAAAAAGAAATACATTACAGATAAATAAAAAATTACAGTTTTAAATTATATCAGTGTAATTCATGTAGTATTTTCTGACTTGTCTAGATATTACAGTTTTCTTCTTGTCTACTGCCAATATGAGATAGTAATTTTTAAATAAGTTGTCAGCGAACGCGAAATAGTCAAACGTGTTATTTCATCTGTACTCTGTGCTGCTTCTCAATGTAAATTTTAAAATATGTTGTTTTCGTTTGCCAAAACTTGCGCGAGTATTTGATGTTTTTCAGATACACAAACAATATTCTAAAATTTCAAGATTATTGTTCCATATCGAAATGCATTACGTAGCAGATACAGGCCGTTATGGTTATCGGAAACTTAAAATTTGATTTAACTATTTCTTATTTCGATAACCATTTTCAACTGCTTTTTTATCATACTTTTTTTTATTCATCTCCTTTCACAACTTATCCTGTTTCTCTCTCCCAATGGATTGAGTTTAGAGGGCAATTTAACTTCTAAATTTTATATGAAATAATTGTTATGTTAAACTTGTGATTGTTTGTTTCGTGAAGTTTTTGATTAATGTTCGGCTGACTATTTACGTCGATCTGCATTATCGTACCGTTCTTTGGGCTCGCTGGAAAATATAAATTGTCCATGTATTATATGTGTTAGATATTTTCACTCTTACATCTTAAAGATGACTCGGCTAAAGATATGTTTTAAACTAATTAATATTATCCAAAATGAAATTGGCGAAAATCGAAAAAATGAAGAAAATATAATAACTTCATACAATCACAGACAGAATATTTCCCGATCACTTACAAGTAGTTCAGTAGTACCATTTAATTTCATAGTGCAAGAGCCTAACGGTATCATAGAATGTACTAAAGAAATATCTTTATTCTCGAGTTTTTTCATATATCGTAATAATTCAGTCTCCGAATGAAATGAATTGAATACAGGATGTGTTAAATAGCTATTTTTACGTATCAAATTAGGATATGTGTTGATAGCGAAAATTGAATGTTCCTAAAAAATAAATGTGTATGTTTAATAAAACAACGACAATATAAACTATATATTCTACATATAAAACACACCAAGGCTTTGTGAATAAAGCAATAGTTTCACAACTAAATCCTTTGACTACCCAATTCAAACGTGTTTGTTGAGGAGCTAATTGAGCAGATACGCTATAAATTATGCAAAAATTGTACCTCAAAATGAACCGTTCTCTGACATGAATAGTGAAAATCATGAAAATGTAATGATATTTTTAACTACGTATAGTATTGATCAGTTGATGTAATTTCGTTATAATGACTTTTGCTAGGTTTTCTGATAAGTATCTTTGTCAAATCAGTATTGCATAAATAATCTTTTTTTCGAAGTAAGAGCAACGTTATAATATAGTTACTTAGAACGATACACAATCAGTTTTAACTCAATCTTTCTCGCAATTAAATGTATAATGGTCAAAAGCAACCATTAATTAAGAATAAAGACAATTCCATTGAATCCTTTTAATATTAAATGAGTTATTAATGGCAGATTAATTTTTGTCATTTGCTTTTTTCGTGGTAAACTTGAGTAGAAAATGTGTTTTAGACGAATTAAATAATGGTATTGTGTAATGAAATAAATGCCGACTACAGGTACAAAGACGCAGAATATAAAGTAGATTTTTATGAATAAACCATCAGGCGAAAATTCGAGGGTTAACATACATAAAGATTAAATTTTGACTAGCAAATGCTTTGGTATGTAGGAAACTGTCAGTAGTTCGTCACAATAAAACTAAGCTAAAATTCAGGAAAAATTCATATGAATAAACTAATATTCTTAACAATTGAAGCTTTATAACTTTTAAAATCAAACAGTTAGCCCTGACTAAAATATGAATGCATATTATCCGAAAACAACTTTGTGATCATAAATTATAGTGGATCGGAATTCTAAAACCAATCTTGCAAAATCTTAAGCAAATTAGGTTACCTGAGGCTTCACTAGAGTTGCTCCGAAAAGGTACATTAGGTCATTAAAATCTTCAACAGTTAGAGTTTCATCTATTGATAAACCAACCTGAATAATAGATAGACTATTTAATAAATTTAGGTATAGTTTAAAGTGATCAACTCGAATACATTACATTTCCTTTTGTAAACACTTAATTAAAAAAACCGAGATAGTTAATAATAAATCAAACAAAAATTCTAGTGTTTGATACTTCATTTTGCATGTTTGGAATTTATCTGAAGCACTGAATATGTAAACTTAAGAAATAACACGCACACAATCTAGTTCTGTAAATGAAGTTAAATGCATTTTGAACAGGTCAGTTTTGATGCCTCGGACCATACTTGTAACTATTTTAGGTTAACGAAGAGCTAAAACCTTTTTTGTTGTTACAGCTACACTTTTTATGATGAGCACCAATACGCAGAAAACTCTGGTTTATAGCACTGTGTCGACTGAGAGAAAAAAAATCGGAAATGAGCGAGTTTGAAATCATGCATATAAATCCTTCTAGTACATATAAATCAGTTATTGTATAGTCGACTAATTGGTTTGTTGATTGAGACATAAATGATGTAGTCTCAACACCAAATAAGTAAACCAAATTTAATTTATTCGACACAATGTACCTAGTTGAAAACAAGTCTCTTTCAATTTGAAATGAATTAGGAGCTTAGTAAATAAAGGATTATCATCTAGAACTGGAAGAAACAAACATACAGTACAAAAAGTCGTTTGAAAAGCTGTTGAACTCGGTAATCTATTGTTGAGCCTAATTAAAATTTATTTCGTGTTAGCTGATTTCACAAAATTCCACCTGACTTTCTTTTCTAATTTACGTAATCCATCAGAATTAACATCAGTCATAAATCTGCTTTCGTCACTGAAAATGGATACAATTTTATTTTTTGTAATCTGGTTTACTCATAACAACAAAAACTTATACTTTTACATCTGAAATTGTTAATCCTTACAAAACTCTTGAAGAATAATGTTGAAAGACTTTTTATTAGAAAGTTATGATTTATGTCCAACAGAAGATTGTGAAATGTAACTTAGAAAGCAATCATACAAAAACAAATTCGAATATTGACACGATATTATAATGATATTTTTATTATGGATATCCAGCTACGCTTATTATTTCTTCTAAAACAATCTGTAGTCTTTTTGAAACTATTTGAGATTTTTTCATCACTCCAAACTTAACTGAATTATCAACTTTCTTCTTGTAATCATCTTCTGAACTTTCATATTCAACCTAGTTATTTCAAAACCGATCACCAGGACCTGGTCTTTATGATTTAATTTCTCACCTCTCCTCCTATTTTCGTCGTCTTACTTATTTATCAAATGGCTATTTGTCTACAATTGATGCCAATGGACTATATGATGACAATTCTTTGGTGTGAACAGTATTATACGCGTATAGTTGAAAGAAGAATGTGCCAGAGTTCAGCGACAGATTTTTACTGTAACAAATTTTGTTATACTTAAAAAGCAGTTCTACTAATAATAAAGTGAAAACGATTAATGAACTTCTGTCAAACAATTTCCTAGGATTTTTCCAGTTATTATATTTTGGGCGTTCTGAAGGCGTACAACTGTAATTCGTAGCTTATAGCCTTAAAAATAAGGGAAGGTGTATAAAAGTTAATTGTTGAAATTAACTTACTGCCCCACCATTTGGATAGTATAAGAGATTCACTCGTTTTTCGAATGCTTTTCTTCGAATAGACTGAAGACAATTTGGTTTAGAATTTGGTAATACTTTGATTGTATCAAATACCGCAGTCTGATTGGCAATCTAGGTTTGGTTCACATGTAAAGTAAATAAACGGGTGAATAATTATACATGTGAATACATCCCTTACATAGAAATGTATATGAAGAATAATACTAGTTTCTTGTTACACTTATTAATATGTTGGTTGCTTAATTTTAAAGATTTTAGCGAATTTTCCATCTCAAGTTATGTGTAACCAGTGATGGTATGGTGAAACCTTTTAGCCATATATCATCCCAAACAGTTGATCATCCGATTTTCGTACTTACAGAGGAATTTATTTTGTTTTTATGTATTTATCTGTTTGGAAAGTGCTTTAATCTTATGGTGCACTAAGAACTATAAATGTTTTGACAATACATAGAGACTTTACTGTTGACCTATAATGGCTTATCACTGTAGATAAATACAAACAAAAGTATCTTTACCACTTGTTGTTAACTACAGTTTGTATGAGTAAAATTAAGGACCAAATGTGATGTATTCACTGTGACAACAAATAATTATGGTGGTCACATGTCACGGGAAACGAACGGTGTTGAAGCGTTCTTGTGGTCTCTATTATTCTGCTAAAACCGTTAACTAGTTATAAGTTATAGGAATAAATTGAAGTTCAAGTGTTTTATAACCTTAAAAATGTATAATAGCAAATGTTTGAATATTCTAGAATACAGAATACTCTGACTTTGCTTCCGAGTCTATAAGTTGTTGCTGAGTAATTTATGTACATTCACATTAACACAATATCATAAAAATGTTTCTGTTGTATTGTCTAATAGAAATATAGTCTTGACTAAAATTCGACGATAAAAGTTTCCCTTTACGTAAAATTTAGTTATACAGACGGATAGCATTTTGACCATTCAGAAAAGTTTAGAAGGCAAGAATACGTATTATTTCCGGTCACTAAGCTGTTACCAAATTTATTGGATGAAGTTCGTTTACGTCATAAATTGACATCAAATAGAGAAATATTGAAAACCAGTCTGCACTGGATAACTGTTTCATGTAAGAGTATGGCTCAGAAGGAATTGAGAAACTGTCGGTAAACTTTCGTCGTAAAGTCTGTTTTGGGTTAGTATCTACTGTTCATAAGCACTTCAAAGAGATGAGTATTGAAAACCTTAAGTGAAATAGAGTACAGCCATATAACAATTTATCTTGAAATGTTAATCTTCATCCACAAGTAAATTTAAGTTAATTTCCCAAGTCCCCATGAGCAAAACAATAACTCAAAGTAATTAAAACCTTTTTAACATACTTTTTATAAGTCTCATAAAATTTTAACTAACCTTATAACCAGCATTTTCTAGAGCTGATACTAAACGTAAAGTATTTCTATGGATACGTGAAGCTATTTGCTTTAATCCTTCCGGCCCATGATAAACTGCATAGAAAGCAGCCATATTAGCAAGTAATGCTTGAGCTGTGCAGATGTTACTTGTGGCTTTATCTCTACGAATATGTTGTTCCCGCGTTTGTAAGGCAAGTCGATACGCAGGTTGGTTCATCGCATCCCTGTAATTAAAATGTTTAAAACTGATTACTTTATCTGACATTGACTGAGTCATATAAAATAACACTCAAAAATATAATCCTAATTAGCAGAAGGAAATAAACTTCCATTCATGTCTATAACTAACATCATAGCATATTAGTCATAGTATCTGTCCAAGTAGATCTAAGGTCTTTCAGAACTACAGAAACAGTATTTTATTTTGAAGAACTTCTTATAAGTATCATACGAACATTGTTTATCATACATTTACCACTTTTTTTATTCAACTAGCATTCGGTGTTTAGTCAATGATCGATATTTTTTATTTCCGTATCAAAACTATTATATGAATTTCGATTAATACATGATTTTACTATGCCCTGATTACATGACATGGAGCTTTTTTTAAACCCCCTAACTTTCTTGGAACACACCAGACATCTGTGACATATCAAGACAATTTAATATTCCTATCAAGGTTTATATTGTGGAGCATAATTTATGGCACTATAATTGCTTCAAACTCGTAAAGGAAATTTCTGAATGTCTAAAAAGATACAGTCATTCTGGCAAGACTGATAGGGATTTTTTGTGAACTTAATTTTTATTTGACAAAATGAGCATATTTGTACACGGACCATCTTTTTTGAATTTATATACATTACATATTATCGGAAAATGAATCTCTACACCATACATCACCACATATTTAGACACAGCTCATTTATCAAATGGCTTTATTGATGGATTTTTGAAAAAAGATGAAAAGTATTTCGTCGGCATAATTTGTTTTACAGGCGCTACAAAAACACTCGGAAGTCTAGATGGTCCAGGATTATTCGAACATTCCTTATTTGGTAGGAATAATCTCTTGTAGGTTAGTATAGACCATAATAAAACACTTAATTATAACAGCCGTTCATGAGGGAATACCTTGAATGAGTAAATAAAAAGATGAGACAGTACTTTTTTATGCAAATTTATACTTTTCAATACTATATTTACGATAGCACAGTATGATTTGTACTATGAACTTTAGTCGACACTTTGGATTATCACGAAGACAGCAGATTAAGGAAGTTTAAACCTTTACATCATGGTATAGAACACCGATCTTAAAATGTCTTCATCAACTTCTATTCCATAGATAGGATTTTAGTGGTAATGTACTTATGAAACTAAGATTTTACACACTTTGTTAATCTTGATATTTTGAGTAAGAAAACATCTTCAACTGTTAAAATGTCATATGTAAATAATATTTGCGTAGTTATAAAAGTAATTTTCACTACTACTTGATGACAAGTGAATGAAAAATGGTAACTTTCAAAATTCCAATGACCATCAAATCGAAATTGACATTATGACACACTGATGACATTGAGTGAGGTCCTCTTTTATCACAGATAACCGATGTCGAAAACGTGGATAACTGTATTTCGACTCAGTTATCTAAATACATCATAATGACAACGATAATTCAAAGCTGTCTTTTGAAATTCAAGTGAGGTCTCGTTTGTGAACTGCAAAGGAGTCCTAGGCTAAGATAAAACAAGTGTCTGATACTTTCTGGTTCTTAGAGGTTCTTTAAATGAAGTGGACTCATGATAAATATTAGCTTTAGAATATACAAAAATCTCCACAAAACCACCTTTAAATATCTTCAATTTCTCATCAGATTAAACATTTAATTTCCATTATTCAAAAAATATTGTTAGCTTCATTTAAATGGAATACAATATAGTCATGAACTTCTGAAATGAGGACACTTCAAATTATTTTGTATATACTGTAGTTGATGGAAAAACAATGATATGAATAGAACTATAATCTTATTAGATATCAAATATTTCGAAAAAGTATATTGTTTACAAGGTTGGTTCGTTAAATAAATGTTACAAAACGATTTAATTAATCGTTTTATTTTAATCACACCTCACTCTCTGGTAATGAAAAGCATGAATTTTTTTCATTTTAAAACTAACTTTGTATGCACAAATAATTCGTATATAGAATTACAGAAATAGTTACTAAAGAATCAAAAGTAAGCCATCGATCCACTGCAATAAATTCAGTAAAAATAATAAACATTTCTGTCCCACTCATGGTACTACGAGTGTATTTTGATAAAAAGCTGAGAATAGCACTTTTCCATACTCAGGGCAGATTTCGATGGAGAATTCTGGTGGGCGGCCTATGCTCCTCCACGAGGCTTAACAGGCGTAAGTAACTTCAAGAAACAATTACTACTTTTAGATAGTTACTTTTTTAAATATGTTTCACTTACTTAGAAAGACCGACTATTCTTCCTGGTAATAATCTGGTAAGTGCTTCAGTTGACGAAATAAATGCTGCATGGGGTCCTCCAAAACCCATTGGTATTCCGAAACGTTGTGAAGATCCAACAGCTATATCAGCACCTAGACTACCAGGTGATTCAATAAGTGTAAGAGCCAACAAGTCGGTTGCTGTGATGAGAAGTGTCTGAAATTATTTACAATTTTCATCAAGTAATAGAACAAATAGTGGAAAATTTATTCAGATTTAGAACTAATACAGCCATCACTAAAAAGATACAATATTTATAAACAGTTGTCAAAGCAAAATAATTAATATCCGTCGGCTTGGAGAGGACAAACCAGCTTCCAACTGAAGAGGAAATTAAGAAAAGACGTTGGAGGTGAATAGGACATACATTACGAAAATCACCAAACAGCATCACGAAGTAAGCCCTAACTTGGAATCCTGAAGGGAAGAGGAAAAGAGGAAGACCGAAGAACCCGCTACGTCGGGGAATGGAAGCGGATATGAAAAGGATGAATAACAACTGGAAAGAATTGCCCAGGACATGGATGGAGAGTGCTGATGGGTGGCCTATGCTCCTCCACGATAGGTAACAGGCTTAAATAAATAAACAAATAACGGTTTAAAATACAATTTAACAAATTTGTTACTAGTGTCTGAAAGCGATAAACAAACGAAGAATCACAAAGAGACAATTAAAATAACGAAAGCTATATTTTCCTACGACAATTATTACATGACCAGAGGGAGCAGAAGCTGAAAGCTGATAAGTTGCAGGCATAGTATAAATACTGTTACTAAGTCATTTTGTATAAATACTATTCTATGGCGTAATCTTGGCCTTCTGAAGATCCTAAGTATAGTCACTAGTTTCCTTCATTAATTTTACTTACAATTTTTTTAGATGAATGATTAAAATAGTAAATAAGATTTAAATCTAACCTTATTTAATTTCGTTATTTCAGCAACTGCACGTATTTTCTCATCCCATATATTACCTTCTGTATCTGGATACTGTAGTAGATATCCAGAGAACTGTCCAGTACTAATAATTTCTTTTACGTGTTCTACATTGTCTATGGAAACAACTTCAATTTCAATATTAAGGTTCCTAAAGAATAAGTGGATAAACTCCGTTTAATACCACCAATTATCGACAAAAACATTTACCAAAAAAAAACAATGCACTACAAAAGCTTGTGAAAAGTTATTCGGTAATCATTTTTTCTAGAATGAGGTCATGAATTACGAGACAAGAAATTAGGATATTCTTACGAAATAAAAAACTCTAATGTTGATAAGTCGATTTATATCAATTTACATGAAGAGGCTGTAACGGAATTCTTCATACCTAAGATTAGAATACTATGGAAAGTTAAGTTATCATTTGCAAGTATGTGCAATTTTAAAAAGTTAGATTTATGCTTTCAGTATTCTTTTGCTAGTCATCAAACACATCACTGAACTACATACACGAGTTAATAAAGATCTTGACTACTGTCACTGTATGGTTTTTCTTATTTATGGCGTCGTTCAAAATTATATATATATACAAACAGATAGTTGAAATCCCATTGAAATTATAAACCGATCAAAGTTAGACCACCATTGAAAACCTGAAAGCACTGGATGGCTGTTTCGTCCTGGTATGGAGCTTCCTAACAATGGTCATCGACGACCCACTGGCCGGAAACCGAACCCAGGACCTTAGCACCCAACCTCTAGACCACTGAACCAGGTTTCCTAACGGTTGTTTAACTTCGATCGTTTCATAATTTCAATGAAATTAAATGATCTCTACAACCCGATGCTGACGCTTAATTTGAAAGCTTACAGTTTAAACTATTAAAATACCGAATGAAAAATTAAACTTCAAAATATAAGCAAAAATGGCTAGTGGCCAGCAGTGGAATCTAGGACGCGCGTTTCGTCCTATTTGAGACTAGTCATCTGGATATACCTGTATCTCAGAGTTGATGTTCACTATCCATCTTTGCTTATAATGCTTGTGAATTAAGGCAATATGGAGGCAATAGGCTCAGTATGCACATATGCCAATAAGAGACTGATCGATTGCAGTCCCAAACATCAATGGGAAGATTCAAGTAAACAATATCGCGTGAATTTAAACTTCAAAATATACACATTATCGACAGCCGAATTCTGTCGGCCATCATGCACCCGTCTTCAATATTATCACCTTATACAAATACAACGAGCTACCCTAGCTTCAAGTATCCAACACCAACGTTTGATAATATACAGTGATTAATGTTGAATATTAGAATATCAACTATCTTATGGTATACATGATTATACACCTAAATATTTCAAAAAAATCGGACAGGTCATATGTTTTAACAGAAATTAACTAATAAAAGTTCATTAGGACGTGAGTCATCATTGTGTGATATAACTTCAAATGTTTTGCCGTTGATTTCTTAAATGAAGACAAATAAACAAAAGGATGCAATATTATACATATATTAATGCACATATTTATGTAGGGTAGATTCGAGTGCATGGTTCCAACTAAAACCGATAAAACTCACAAAAGTGTTCGATGTTTACATCCTTGTTCACTAAGATTATTAGATAAATAGAGGTTAAAAATTACCCACAAAAGGGTCGTGTGCGACCGGCCTCAAGTAGTTATCCCTTAAGCACTGCGGTCACACTCTCAGGTCACCAAGACCAATTCTAGCCCGATTTCCTCTTCAGGTACCTCTAGAAGAACCCTTCTGCAATGTCGGTAACCAGGAAGTAGAAACCGCCCCATACCTCTAAAAGCAATCAAGACCACAATATTCATAATCAATTTCTCTCTTTAATTCATACTATTACTCCTACCTCGACTTTCCCCTCAAATGTCACCATGGTCAACGATATTAGTGCGAGAATTGCTGTCCCAGGTCTACTGAAACCTCGCTCCAAACTACACATTGGAGCCTTCAACGTACGTACCCTATGTGAAATCGGCTAATAGACCTCCTTAGTCAAGACCCTAGAATTTCGTAACATTGATGTATGCCGCTTCTTCGAAACACACACACAAGATGCTAGTATAGTCATTCTAAACAGGGAACCGACGAGATACACCCTCCGTTTATCTGACGACCCGAAGGCAAATTCTCGTGGGCTGGTGGATGAAGGCATAACACTTAGTATGAAGGCAGAACAAGAACTTTTAGAACTTAATAATCTCCACAACCATATACTGATAATTACCATGTGCTCACAAGTGACTAGATTCGTGAGGGAATTCTCGGAGTTCTAGTGAGAAGCCGTAATCAATGGAGCTAACACGTGTCGAGGACAGACAGGTAAATTGAAGATGGTCACGCAATTTCGTGGACTGGTTGATGTTAGGCGTTAACACTGCTAGATCCTGGCTCAGTGGTCTAGTAGGTTAGGCGTTTGTGCGCGAGACTGAAGGCCATGGGTTCGAGTCCCGCGAGCAAGATCGTGAACGCGCACTGCTGAGGAGTCCGACAGTAGGAAGAAACGGCCGTCCAGTACTTCCAGGTTGTCAATGGTGGTTTAATGCCAATCGGTTCGGGATCTCAATCAATAAATTAATAATCTCCACAAACCAATACTGAAAATGATAGTTTTTCTTGACTTAAAAGCTGCATTTTACTCTGTACAACGAGAGCCTCTGTGACAGTGTCTCTCATTCAAAGGTGTACCTCAGAGGTGCATAAACCTTGTGAAGGCTTTTTACTCGAACACTACCAGTCGAGTCAGACTTTATGGTGAACTGTCATGCGATTTTGCAACCTCAAGTTGTGTCCGACACAAGACTGTCCACTATCTCCATTTCTTGTCCAACTTCACCATAGACATACTGCTGGAAATAACACTCTCGTATTCGAAACTTTGAGGAATTGATTTCGTTCCAGGAGGTCCACTCATAGACCTAAGATACGCAGATAACAATCCTGTTTGTTGAAGACGCTTATAAAACGCAGAGACTTTTGGTAACAATGAACGACAATGTCAGGATGTTTGGAATGTACTTCTCTACCTCTAAATGCGTGCTGTTGCTTCAGGATTGGCCTGCGTCAACACCTGAACTAAGGATAAAGAGTGAAGTCTTCCCTTAAACAGTGAGATTAAAATTACTTTATGCCTTCCTTTCTACGACCTAACCTTTATCTACATATACTACTTTCATTGGAGTAACGGCGTCTATGAATCTGGTATTCATTCTGTCGTGCTAGTGAGGTGTGGCATTTTGGACCGATGCACATATGTGCCTGATCCTAGATTGTAGATGAATGACTGACTGACTGATATTGAAGTTGAATAATGATTCAGTTATATAATCTACTAGATAAAAAGTATTTGTGAGTGAATCACAACAAACTGAATTTGTAATCAACGGTGCTATATCGTTGATTTACTGTAACTTTAGGTATCTCATAATCAAAATATACACAAATACAACCTGACGTAGCATAATTAATTGTTTTTATTTTAAATGAACAAAAATCAGATAGTTTCGATGATCATAAATTATTGAAGAACCATTGAAGGTTTTTATATCTGAAGGAAAAAAGGCCATAAGAAGATATTATTCTTACCTGGAGTTAAAAAAAGATTTTTCGTTAAAAGCTTGTAACTAGCCTTCGTTACTATGCATCATTACTTACCTGGGGCTTAAACCCACTTTGTTTATAGATCCTGATACAAAAGCTATAAATTGTTTGGAACAAGACTGGACTATGTATTTGAAGGACTATAAATGAATACCTGACGGCTAGTCCAGGTAGTTTTCACAGTATGATGGCTATTTGGTGCTATAACAAACCAGTTGGTACATACTCGAAGATCAACCACTGTTTCACTTAATTTAGTAGTGAAAAATCTGTTCATTACAAGCTACAATGTATATAATTTGTACATAATACAACTTGTACCAATAGTCAAAGTTGATCAGAATGATGGATGGGGAATTTCCAAATATCCTGTTTTCCTTATTAAACGTTTGTTGACCAATTACATCTTCAAAGAATAGAACTTATCAACAGAATGGATTAACTGACTACATCACATTATGTTTACTGTAATTGAGATCTTGGTGCGTCACATAATTTGTCACTGAAAAACATTAAATTTCAGATGTTTGTATATGTGCCATAAGTCTTGAAGAGTTTAGATGCTTTAACTGAAGAATATCTCAAATGATAAAACACTAGAAATGGTGCTGTCACTAAGCTAAATAGCATATTTTGCGAAAATTGAGAGTAAAAATTATGCATGACAAAAAACCACGGACAATTTTAATTTCAATTTCCACTTACTTTGCTCTAGATGTGACGACATTCATAGTTTGTGGATGGCATCTCCTATCGAGGAGAAACTTTTTTCTGTTTGTATATCTATGGGACAAAAATCATCACAAGAAAGACTGAATGTAACATAAATACAGTTGCTGCTAAACATACACTTTTGTCATTCATAAAAGTAATGGATACGTCAAAATTTTCTCTATCGACATAAGGTTGACATTCTAATTGTCTATTGCAAAAATTTCGAGTCCTTTGATTTACATTATTTGAGTTGTTATTTAAGGATACACTACGAACTTGGTTGATGAACTTCAAACAACATTACACAACATGATACTATTTATACTGCAATCGCTTTTACTTATTTACCTAAAATGTAAATCATATTTCACATTTAGAAGAAACACATCTTTTTATTAGCTTCTTAATAAAGTGGAATATCTTGTATAAAATACAAGAACTTACCTGACTGCCATACACATTGCTTCTGCAGATGCTGTACCTTCATCCAACAGTGATGCATTTGCTCTCGCCAAACCCGTTAAGTCTGATATCATTGTCTGATAATTAAATAGTGATTCTAAACGACCTTGGCTTATTTCAGGTTGGTATGGTGTGTAGGAAGTGTACCTGAAAAATGAAGGTTTGTTGAGAGGTGAAAATTTGGAAAAACGTTTTCACTTTGGGGTTTGAGGATTAGCTATTGGTCGGTAGTTGAGATGAAGTAAAACCAACTTTCGTGAAAAATTATCACGTAAATTGATTCGAAAATTGGTAGTATTATTCTGATTTTACATAATCGTACAACCCCTGATGTTCAAGGAATCAGTGAAAAATAAAAACGGAATAGAGAACTTTAAGTGATAAAAATTGAAGCATATTAGCTGGGTTACGATAATAGTTGGCATTTAACTAGATCCGTTGCGACTATAAATAAATAACTTTCAACAGATGACTCAAGACTATGAAACTGGTTGAGATAAGTCTCAATCCCACAGCACTCATCAGTTCCCTCATGGTTGTAGGCACAAGTTGGTAAATACAAGGTTTTCTACCTCCGACCATCTAACGTCAAAACAGTGCTAAAACTATAAAGTCATTAAAACTAACAGATAGGATTCAGTCAGAATTAAAGATTAGACAAAAGTGAAATCGGTTGATACTCAATGATTAATCAACACAAATGTAACCTAATTCACAAATGAACCTTAAGCTTGTTAACTAGGATTAAGCAATGTCATTCTCTTAATCGTATAATTGCCAGTTGGTCAAACAAATGAGATTTCCGGATTAAAAGTAATCGAGATATTGAAGATAAATTCTATGTATTCTTCAACAGAATATTTAGGTAAAAAATATTGTAAAATATATTGCAAGGTGGCAACAAATTAAAACAACATAGCAATTGAAATAACTGTAGGGAAAGTTGCGAAAATGTATTAACATACCAACCGGGATTTTCAAATATATTACGTTGTATTGTAGATGGTGTTATAGTACCATAATATCCTTGTCCAATATAAGAACGCCAAACTTCATTCTTGCTCATGAGCAACTTTAAACGCCTGATGAGTTCTGCTTCACCTTAAGTTTACGAAATAATAATTACAATAGTTAAGAATGATTTGAATGGGATTAATTAAAAGTATTGTTAAAATCAGCAGTAAAAATACGTACACTAATAAGTTTTAGATTCCGTCTGTTATACCAATGGATTTTATGAATATGATCTGGTTATTGAAACAATACTTAATACGGAGCTAAAGAGTTTTATAACGATATATGAATATTATTGAGGCAACCAGTGAAGGATTCTAGGACAAAACTTGTTTGTATTCTGATTACTAATTTTTAATAGTAATGTGGCTGAAATCCATACAGAATACAAACTACCGAAAAGCTACTTCGACTTTCATGGATTGACCTCTTCAACCGGTGATTATCCTGAAAACTAGATACATTACTATAAACAAATTGAAACAACCCTAGATATGCTTAGTGAAATATTTTTATTTAACAACAAAATATGTGGACAAAATCTCAGAAAATCAAAATTTCCAATTTTGTATAAACATTGTTTAAGTTCGATAAGTGAATTGACAAATGAGTAGGTTTATGATTCAGGGATTCATCTTAAAATCACTGGGAGATTAGTTCAAACTAAATTTAATTAAATTTCAACGGCGAAACACTAACACATTTATTTACACAGTACTTATGAATAACTACTCAGAATTTCAGCCAACATATATCTACTGAGTTGTAGTTAATTTACATGTTTTACTCATAGATAGCAAAATAACTAATTTATCCTAAATAAAGACTTCATACATACTTGTTTCATTTTCTAATTTCAAATCCCTTTTTAGTGATATACTATCTGGTATTACTTTGGATATAAAATCTTCGATTCTCTAGAGAAAAGCAAACAAAGTAAGCAATAATTGGTACAGCCCGATATGAAAATTAAAAAGACAATTTTTAAATAAAAAATGATTCTGAACAGGAGCAAGAATTATAAATAACCCAATATTTAGAAATTAAATTATATCTTGACTTCTTCAATGGAAATCAGTGATTATCAGTGTGAAAATTTGTGAAATTAAGATGTGAATTAGATAAAAAGTACACTGTGTGTGTGAGACTCATAGTAGTTTTACCTATGTACAAGGACTGTAACTAAAGAATATGTAATAAAGACTAAATTACTTGTCAATTTTCTTTTTGCCACTAATAAGTAATTGGACATAAGTACTACTCATTTATATGTAAATATGTGACCACTCATCCCACAGTCTTAAAATGTTATGAACAATGAAGGATCATAAGACGCGACATGTAAGGCTTATTGTTTATTACTTAATTGTAGGAATTCTCAATAAATATTTAATGCATAACAATGATAGTTTTAACCACTATAAAAATTTTGCTAAGATGAGGAATTCTCAGAATTGTGCAATATTACCATAAATTTCTCTTTAATATACATTCAAATGGTAATCATTCGAAAATTATCTCCCATAAACGTATATCCAATAGTAAATATATTTAATGACGAAAGACTACCATCAGTTCTGGTGCTCAACAATTTATTGCCCATCAAATATTGAGTTCCTGAATTTGAATATATTCATCTTTTATTTCAAAATTTTTTCATGACACCGAGCGAGTACATACAATTAAGTTTAAATAAATCTAAAACAGGAAGGTTTATTATAACATTTATACAGTTGGGAAACAGATGCCCCAAACATTTGAGCAAGCCAACGTTATATTAGGATTTCACTTTCCTATCAACATTAGTAAAGCACGTGACTGTAGTTTTGTTTGATGAAATGGAATATTAAAATTTATTGAGAAACGAAAATTGTCTCCTTCAGGAAACTGAGAGATGTGGTTTTTTGAAACAAACCATTTTAAGCGTAATTCTTAATTTTGTTGTAACTGTCAGTGAGACCAGTAATTTTATAGAGAAAATGTAGAAAATAAACTACATGGAAATAACGCGTTGATACAAAATACCTTGTTTTTTAATGACTTTTTCTTTAAAATGCTTCAAATCAAAGTTTTGTTTAACATACAATAAAGTTAAAAACGTATCATGTCAATTACTTTATCTCTGTGTGTCAATGATTTTCAGGAGCAACTATACAATTCATAAAAAGGTGGCAATAAGTTACCAGTGATCATAAACTATGATCACCTCAAACAATTCTCTTGTATTTTAGCTGATTAAAGTCATTGTTTAATGAACTTCTCAGTGGACATTGTAAAACAACTGTAGACAAGGACAACTCAAGAAAATGCGGAGCTAAATACTCCTATCAGTCGGATTTCATTTACAGCAACTCAACATGACTTGAGAAAAGAAATTCAAGTTCAAAATTTGCCAAAAATATTCACACTGTTGTGTCGTTAGTTCAATAAAAGTGTGATGCTTCATTCATTCATGTGTAGCATTCAGTAAACTTAGGATCCCTAACTGTCGACATTCTAATTATTATCATGACCTCAAAACTACCGAATATGATATTTATGGTCAAACTAATGTCATCTTATCATAAATATAGCGGCTTTATATGAAACGAAAATATATTTAACTGCGAATTTAAAAACGTTAGACAAAATCGAGTTTGTTTGGTGCATAACATTCATTTTACAAATACACAGAACAAAAGGTTCGCCAGGATCTCATATCTTTGTCTTTTTGGGATTATGTGTGGATATGTCATTATGAATTTGTACATTGAAGCACAAGAAGAACACGGATAACTAGGAATCGTATATCATAGAAATATTGGGTTAAATATCTGGTCAATTAATATACACAGTAAACAAATAATGAATATAAACACTGTTTAGCAAAAGAAATAAAATTCAATCGGCTGTCAGAAGTAGAGTACAATGACTAGCCGTAATGATGCATATACACTGATAACACTGGAGTAAGAAATCGAAATATTTGTGAAGAATTCACGTCAAGGAATGAAATCACCGATATGACTTCTATATTTACGTAAGTAAAGCACACTAACATAATGTTTTTTGCTACATTGGTTAGACTTCCAATTTGTTTTTAACTAAACTTATTTAAATGACGTACAATGAACGGATGGAAATTTCGTGATCATAAAACTTGTAAGTGAACGTCAAAGTATTCAACACTCTCATATTCGATTATCGTCTGGTAAATATTCACTTGGAATGAATTTCGACTTGTATTACATGGACTGTACACTAACATTTCGTAAGTTAACTTATTACAGTTACATATTTTGATCTAACGGGATGAAAAGTCAAATTGAGATAAATTTATTTATTATGATTTTTGTTCCATATTAATTCCATTTTCATTTAATGTGATAATTATTTAGTATAGTTGTTTACCTGTATAATATTTTATTCTGTATAATATACAATATTCTTATATTCAATGTACATAAATTATGCTCAGCATGAATATATAACATGAAATAACTAAATATTTTCATTCTAATTATTAATCAAAATGAATGTACAAATCAATATATATATGAGTGTATTTTCGAGTAGGGTCGTCATCGCCGTGTTATGGGGTTAATAAATCTTCATTTGTACCAGTCTTTCTGTTCTTACTTTCGCGTCGTGGGAATTACAGTAGTTCCTCGTTTTCGAGTATAAGTGATGAGTGATTCCGACATTATAATCCACAACGACCAGATATAACAATTAGCGTTCCATTAGAAGAAATATCAGTTTATTTTTTTAATTTAAGATGAATTCCCGTTTACACGTGTCACTTCCATAAAAATATGCTACGTTTATACCATACCTGCATAATCATGACTTTTTATAAAATTAAATCTTAAGACAATTCAAATAACTTGAAAAAGCAATCAGCAATTAGTGTCACTATAGCTGTCTACAACAAACTAATTTTGATTTAGCATCTTAATATATTTTAAAAGCTTAGGCTTCCACATCACACCGTAACACAAGAAACAAAGTATTCAATGCAGTTCTGAGATTGCTTAAAATTAATATTTATTACTAACAGTTGTAAACGGTAACAGATTGATACTAATGAATAACGTTTGGACTAATGATTTCGTATCGAAATTCATTTGAGCGAACATAGAAGATACGAAAAATAGTATTAAATAAGTAAATATATTTCGAATAATGACTGTCCAACCGCACAAATGTTTTTTTTGTATTTTTAATATATATGTTTATCAAAATGTCAATTTTCTGTTCAAATGAGATAGAGTTTTATTGAAGTGTGGTAGAGGTAAGTTGTTCTAATGTAATCATAGTTGCTGCTGTAATCCATTTGCAAAACGTTATAAGATAGATTTCATTTTCACACAATTTTCCCTTTGGTAAGTTTGACTAAAGCAAAAACAACAAGCATAGTAGAATAGGATGAATTCATTTATTTCTTGGATTCTCGTCAGCTGCTAATAACCTAGAAGAATAGTAATGATCATTTACAACTAATGTACATAGTTCATACCATATTAATGAAAATTAGTAGAATAACGACAAGTATAAAATAATTATAAAATGGTAAAATGAATGAATATTTACGCTACTAAACGTGAAATATCTAGAAGAAAAAAATCCTTCAAACACATGGATTTACGTTTCTTGAGCAAGAAAATTGATATCGAAGTTACGTAGTAACAACCCCGAAATGATGGATTAACAGACTGTTCTTCCACAACAGTTGTTATTAGTCCATGAAACTTCATTAATATAATACAAGGTATGTACATTAGTTGTAAAAAATCATTAATATCATTTATACGTTGCAAACAGCTGACGAGAACCCATGAAACAAATAAACTAGCCTTATTCTCCAACGCTTGTTATTCTTGGTTTCATTTTACCAAAAATACTAGTTGAGCTTCACTTATAGTTTGCTAAGAAGTTATTTGTTTATGTAAAATGAAAATCAATTATTGTAAATAAGATATTTGGATACAATTGACATCATTCAGCGAGTGACAGTTTGTTTATCTAGAATTGTTCATACTTGTTTACGGACACTTCCATACTATATTTATTTGTAATCAACAGTTTGAAACATAACTATTCTTTAATCTATAATCGATTCTAATTCCTCTATTTAAAGATAAAACTTATATTCCTGAGAGTTTAACACGACCAGAAATTAGGTTTGTTTGGTGATTTAGTGATTTAACGTGCTTGAACTTTTCCAATCGATAGCTTTCTATTTCCATCAAAACTTTGAACTTAACCTATTTTGGACATTCACAACCCGTCCATTCTCATTTTTATAATAACTTAATCAGTTGACGCTGAACCACTAATTTTTTTAATAAATAAAAAAACCACTCAATATCTTAACTGACTTGATCATAAATAAGCGGTTTCAGAAAGGTATACCCAGCAACAAATCTTCAATTTTTGATGTTGGCTAGTTTTTTTTTGTTAACTTCATTAACACAACACAAATAAACATTAAACTAAACCTCTAAAAACATTAACAATCGTTTATAAACAATGTGAATGCGAGAACCCGTTGAAATATTTGCTATACCTTATTACATTATTGTGAACAACATGATTTTGGATGCTGTTAGATGTATGAGGACGGTTGTCACTTCCCCACTGCCAAACTGTAGAAGGATATGAACTTTAGAATTTGTAAGATTTTTTATGAGAAAGGTCTCTTTAGTGAAACATACCTGTTTCTTGATTTACGATGTGATAGATAGGCTTGAATTACAAAAACGTTTGAAATATCTGAAAGTTACCGCGAGTAAGTATATCCTTTGCAAAACATTATATATAAGCCCTCGGGTCAACAGTAGTTAACATCTAAAGGATCATCACACACAAACATTTAAATTGCAGTTAATTCGTGTGCATCTAGCTTGAATATGTATAGATTGTTATGCGTTCTGTTATTGTAAATAGCTACGCTGAAGGTGGTGAGTGTTTTCTTTATCAAACTAATTGTACAGTCAAATTTTTCACCATCTTGTCAACAAGATAAATATAATCCGAACCATACAGTAATGTGATGACGTGTGCTTTGATGAACTTCTCTTCAAATTGTTCAGATAAATACGAATTACTTAATTAGCTTTTGTATTGTCACAATTAACTGGCGTTTCTTATTAGCATAATTTGTGTAAACGTAGTCATAAAAGATCTATAAATCTGAATATACACAATTATTGTAATAAACGCATTGGGTTATTAAATTCTGTGTAAATAATAGGCTACTCGTTACCGAATCCTAGCATAATTGTTTTGATGAAAAATAGAAATAAGGACACAATAAGCCATAGTACGGGAGGCAAAATCCGACTCACACGTCCGCGTCGTGCCTCCTGGATAATGGGACGAATGTCTCAAGAACCAACGTGAGCGGTAACCCGGGTGGTGGAGATCGGGCTAATCACCCACTCTACCTATACCCACCAACTGATTACAAACTCCACAGATAAACACAGCACAACTACATTTGGAATGAAAAAAGACAAAAAATCTTCTCGAAAGTGGTGCATGTATCAAGCAGAGTTGCTCATCATTGGGCTAACTCCAAAAGTTTGCAGAAACAACCATAATAGTCCCGGTAGTCGTGTCGTGATTCAACGTAACCCACAGAGAGACATGGCACGATTACGTTTGAAATGGAAAGTGACAAAATTCTTGAAAGTGGTGCATGTACCATTTGGAGTTGCTCATCACTGGGCTAACTCCAAAGGATTGCAGAAACAACTATTCTAGCCCCGGTAGTTGTGCCGTGCTTTGATGTGGCCTGTTTTCCCAGAAGGGCCTACTAGGCTTCACCAACTAGTTTGGCTGGGGGGGGCAAGCCATAGTACAAGTAAAACATCTGATGGTGAGATAACACTAGTTGAAATAAAAGGCGAAAAAATGTATCCAAATTAATCACCAAAACACTTACATTAAAACCACAAAATTGGAGCATGTGATTGATATCTTTCTCAGATGGACCAATATGTCGGTGCACGAAATCTGCTTTTGGAGCTTCCGGTTTCTCATCAATACTAGAGATATTCGATCCACTCGATAAACTTCTTATTAATAAGCGTGAACAACTTGGCATTACTCTAATCCCAAGTGAATGATGCTGATGACATAAAGTTTGAACAAAATTGCAATGAAACCGGTGAAATGAAGATAGTATACTCCACAACATGATTGATTAGCTTATGATCAAAAACTGAATACAAGGATGAAGTGAGAGATCATTTGATAAGAATTCTAGTTAATATAATATAGAAAACAAAAATTCAGTTGATATATATATATAGATTTTAAACTGTTACTAATTAACCAATGAAAATTAGCTTTTCACATAATGATAATCGCATGAACTAATTATTTGATTTATATTCTAGTTGGAAAGACCAACATTAGCTAGCAAAAAATACACTGGAGAGTTCGTTATTCAAATTTCTATTACTAATTTAAGATGACTTAATTTGTGTGATAATGAAACCATAGGGCGTTTTTCAACTTAACACTAACTTTTAGAAATCTAGCAGTTGAGACAGTGTCTTATGAAAATACGTTTCTAGATTTCGCCTCCTATACAAAGACAACCGTAGGAATCTATTTAAATAAACTTAACCTCTCTATGCAGAAAACAGTTGTATAGCTTGTCTCTCCGCTATAGCCATCAAATTAGATTTAAGCACATCCCTTCATTCTTCATAGTTATTCCAGTGATTATTTCTAATAATTAACAGGCTATTAATTTTAAACCTATACCTATACACCTTTTGCTTTTCTCATTTCTATGTAATTGATTTGAGTAACTAGCCGATTTATAAACCTAATTTTACATTTTTCAATCCTTATTCTTATGCAATAGTTAAAGATCATTAACTAATTCTTAAACCTAAAATTACACTTAAGTGTATTTGTATTATTATTATTATGTGTTAATTTCTCTATCACCATTTAATTTGTGTTTTATATTCAAATGTAAAACTACATATTAATGCTGAGCTATCATGGGAAGTGAATTGAAAAGTAATATTCCTCTGTATGAATTGTACTTTTAATGTCTAAATGAGAACATTTAAGTTACTGAAAATACATTAAACATCTTATGAGTATTTTCACTAGTTCACTCCCCATGGCCCCATTTATGATAAAGGAATGAAGCAGTAAGCCTTTATCTGCTAGTTGTTTTATTTTAGACTCATAAACCAACAATTCTCTGTAGCATTTATTCAGAAGAACTTACATTATACCTTTGACATCATTAAATGTATGATAAGCTCTGGAATATTACTAATTTACCTTAAGAAATCGATAAACACTAACTTTCAATTTTCAAAAAATAATTGTTGAGAAGTGTTAGATATTACGTTTGAAGACTAACAAAGAAGACTACCTAGTCCCTATCAGAAGAGAGGACATTTATTGATTCCTAGTGAATATTAGTTTGTTGAAAACATCTAAGTTAAAGAAAACTAATCTAATCCTCCTCGAATCTCCAGATTATTTTCCGTAGACAAAGAAGCATGTCCTGATTATACGAAAGATATACTTGAACAGATATTAAGAACATGTCATGGGACTAAAAGCAACTTTTGTAATAATGAAGAAACGCAGTCAGAAGTGAACACCTAGATCTAATCAAGTCTTGGGCGGACAAAAATTATAATTCTATAGTGTTATGACTTGTGGTCTGTGTGCCCTGTTGATGTATAACGTAATCATGCCGCCAATTAGGCAGCAGTGAATTACCGATCGAACCAATGAAGCATAAAACACGTGCGGGCAGTCTAGAGTCCTGATTGGTCCTTTTCCAAATGAGTTCTGGGGATCTAACGTTCCCAGCTCATAGTATATATTCAAAAAGCTTGTAATCACAAGAAATATTTATTGAAACTTCTAAGAATGACAAAAATTGTTTTTTTTCTAGCTGTTCTTTTCTTCTCACTGTTTGAACTTGAATTATTCTATTTCTAACATAAATACTATTTAAATGTTTTTGTGATCAGCCTATTCGAAAGATTTGCTAATATATCACATAGTTCCAATCAACGTTATCTATCATCTAAATAATGTCTTATTTGTAGGTGTCATTACTTAGATTTGACTTGATAACTTCAAGTAAATTGGGCATTGAGTAGATTGTTATCAATAAAAATAATTTTTCCACTCATTGTGATATTACCCATCTACTATTTTTATTCACGTCTTATTTGTTCTTCTAACAAAATCCCCTGTCTACTCCAAGAAAAGAGACTAATGTAGTCGTCTAATATACTTTTTCATTTCAATGGTTGAGATCATGAGTCAATTGAAGCTAGACCACCATGGAAAACCTGGAAACACTGGACGGCCGTTTCATCCTATTGTGGTTAAGCGCGCGCGAGACTGACAGGTCCTGGGTTCGAAGCTCGTGAGGCGGAATCGTGGATCCGCATGCTGAAGAGTCTCACAATAGGACGAAACGGCCGTCCAGTGCTTCCGGGTTTTCCATGGTGGTCTAGCTTCAATTGACTTATAATCTCAACCATTGAAATCACTATAATATCCACAAAAACCCTTCTGATACTTTTTTATGACCATATATATTTTAAGAGCCTAATTGGAAAAAGGTCAGACTAAAGACTACAAACTTTAACCAACATACTATTTCATTTGGTGCAGATTTATCTACGTTTCTTTCCAAAGGTAAATCAATCGCGTTTACCTCAAAAATTATGGTATTATTTTGTATTCGTCACACAATGAGTAAGTTTGATTGTATTAGAAGAAAAAAATCAGATTGTCACGGTTTCTAAAAAATATCCAAAAGTAAGCATCCATCACGAACATAATTATTTTGTCACATTTTCTTAATTTTTCTATATTTTATTCCAGCTAACATTATTGGTTTAAGTAAACTGAAAAAACCTTATCATCGTGAAAAAAAGCATGCATCGAGATCACGGAAAGGAACAAAATCATGAAATACTTTGGAGCACGTCCACATATCAAATATATTTCTAAGGGAGTTCTGACTGAAAATATTGCCACTGTTCCCCATATACCCCTACACTTTAATTCCAAAAATAATATATGTGGACCTCTTCAGATAGCTGGATGTCCTAGACCGAGTAAACAGGACACTGACTTAGATCTTGCTGCTAACCAGATTTCCTTTCACTTTTAGTGAATGTTTTTGTATAAAACAGCGTCCCGATTGGGGACATCTCAACAACGCTAGTGAATGGTTTATTAGAAACTTGTTATCTGATTTATCGAAATATATGACAATAAATGAGGAGTCGGATAAAATCATTACTTCTTAACAATCACGAGAAACGACCAAAGATTTGGTAAATAAAGAAGGAACGAATCGAGCGAATGAAATAATACTCATCGAGTAGATACACTGCGTAATAATTATATAATTACATGTCGATTATAAACTAACATTGAGTAATTGGAAGAAAGTGGATTATAATAACCAAAGTAATTATTCAAGAATAAAGCAGTTGCTACGTTGCATATTATATAAAAAAGAAGGAACTAACTTGATGACAAGTGTCCACCAAGTGAGCAAGAATAAAGCTTTTAGGGTTATCCACCATATTCCATCAAGTTTTCCGCATGGTTTACGAGTTCGTCTTTTGCACATTGCTGAAGCCATTGGAATCCATGTTTACAAACCAACCCTTTGCATCGAAAAGAAGTTTGTACAACCACTATCGCTACCTTGGTCATCGGTATAGAAAAGTTTTTAGCAGAACTATTTTTGTAATTCTCCCACTTTTGTATTATACTTATTCTCAACATTCGTTTCTTAATTCTTACATAACTGCTATACTACTAACCATTCATCAAAATATTTTGTTAGTTCCTTCTCTTCTTATATATTATGCAACGTAGCAACTGCTTTATTCTTGAATAATTACTTTGGTTATTATAATCCACTTTCTTCCAATTACTTAGTGTTAGTTTATAATCGACATGTAATTATATAATTATTACGAAGTGTATCTACTCGACGAGTATTATTTCATTAGTGTTGAGCCATGATGAAAAACTAATTAAAAAGAAATTCCAAAACCAAAGATTTTTCTATCGTTTAGTCATCATGTGCAGAAACGACTTCATTACCACCAAATTACAAGATTAGCAACCATGTGATATTGGACTGATTTAAGTGTACAAAGGGTCAAAATACATCAATATATTATATGCAGCAGTTTATGTTTCTAAAATCAAATAAGTAATTAAACGATGTGACCAAAGTTCATCAGCAGAATTAAACAAATTATTATTTGTATGCCCCCTTTTTAATAAATTCGAATTTTATCAAAAGTAATCAAATTATACAACTTAACCAATTTCACACCTGATATCAGCTTCGAGCCACTCGTCACCTAGAAAATTCAAATAGAGCACGGTTCGAACTTTTGAATCAATGATTAAAAGCCCAGTGTTTCAAATACTAAATGATCACATCCAGAAATTCCTAGGATGTATGATTTTGTTATTGGCGGAATGTTGTGTTCAGATATGAGGTTTACAGAACATGAACAAGAAATCTATTAAACATCTTTTTCTGAGATTTTTCTACTCACTTGTTTAAAAACAGTTTTTATCCTGGTGGATACAACTGCAAGTTACTTTAGGAAATTACTTATTAACTCTGGACGAATATTTTCAGTATATTGTATAATGACAGCAATGTAGCTACAAGAATGAATTATTATCACTAGTCTCTTAATTATTTTGTCACAAAGCCAAACAAACATAATGATTTGAAATATCATAGAATAGTCTATTCCCTTAAACTAAAGAACTTAACAGAACAGATGCACAAAGTTGATTAGAAGGAAAAAACAAAGCTAACTGCGAAGGTTAGTGTAGATAGGTAATAGATAGAAGGAATAAAATATAGAGTTTTGCTAAAAATCAAGAACTCAAAAATAGTACACCTAGAAACAGAAAAACTCCATCGTAGTTTTTTAATTACAATAATTATATTGTATTATCGTTATTCCGTTATTTTGCAAACCACTGGATTAAATGTTCACACATCAACCACTTTGATTTCATGGTGAATAGTCATCGATCAAACTTGCGTATTTTCAAAACATTCTGTTTTGCAAATAACGAGTAGAGTACAACTTCCATCATAAAAAGGAAGTGTTCTATTGTTATGAACTTTCAATCACTATTGTA